TACGTGGAAACAAATAGTGTCATTGAAAGAATACTCAGAAGGAAAAAATTGTGCTTTGCCTGCCTTGCTGGTGTGATATATGGCAATAGGGATGTAAAGAAGCTTCTCTTTTTGCTGTTTTTATTTTCATCCCAAAGTCCCCAAATCCAAAAGAAAGAAAAAATGCAAAAATTCTCAAATTTGTCCAGTGTAGAGAAGGATGTTTGTTGCTGTTGTTCTCTGTGAAAGAGAGGGAGAGAGAGAAAAGGAAGGAAGGAAGGGGAAAAGAAAAAAAAAACCCACTGCTTTTGAAAACATTTAGCCATTCTTGTTCCAGCAGCTGTTCAACAGTTTCTTGGTCTTGCTGGTAAGAGGAGAATATAAACAGCAGGGAGGATGCAAGCACAGCAGCTGTTATACAATCAGGGGGATAAAAGCTGCAGACTGGAACAGAAAAGGTGAAGCTGCTCAGTGATAGGTTGTGCTCAGGTGTGGTGTATTTATGTGTGAGAGAGAATGTTACCCCAAAAGTGGGAAAAAGTGCTTCCCCCCCCCATTTTTAATCCATTTTAATATTTGTTTATATACAAGCTGCTATGAAGAGATATTGATTTAAAGCAGGATACAAGCAAATGTATAAGACATACGGTACATAGGAAGGAACATTCTACCAAGCCCGAGTATTGGTCTATTTTGTTCTGTATTAGCTATACTGAGTAGCAGCTGAGGTTTCAGACATAGATTTTTTCCCAACCCTGTCTAGAGATGATCTGGGGCTTTCTGTATGCAAAGCATGTACTCTGCTACTAAACTAGTTAAAATATGTGTTGCAGCCAAGGGTGTTTCCACACATTGCACCTTTGTTTGCTTTCTTTGTTTGTGGACAACTGAAGCTGTCATCTTCAGTTTATAAACCTTCTGCATTTCCCCACCACTTTTTCCAGCTTTTTCAGAAAATACCTTTGAAGGAATGAAAGAGATGCACATTAAATTTTGGCTCACAACATCAGGAGTCGATTGCCTAGACGCACCCCAGGGATCTACTTCAACTCAGAACCTGGGTACCCACTGAGGATGCATATGCAAGAGTGTGGTTAGTAATGCAGGTAGCATTGAAAGACAGTTTGTCAGACTGCAGGTTTAGGTAATCTTTTTTAAAAGAGTGAACTGAGCAAAGTTGACCACAGACTGGGACAGTCTAACAGAACATGAGAGTAAATGAGCTAGATTTGTCTGCTGAAGTTGATCTTTGCATTTCTGGACAATTGGTGGGAATAAGATGATTTGGACAAGATTGAAAAAGGATCTGATCTGAAATCTGATACACCATACATCATTTTAGGATTAATGAACAGTTGCTGGTCTTAGCTGGGAATTCTATTTCTGTGTTCTCCAGTAGTGTCTGTTATATTTGCAAATAGTAGCTAAGATCAACATTGGCATCCAAATGTGATGCAAAATGTTAGAGCTGAGTCAATTAAGGAAACACTTGTTCCAATGTGATTAGCAATCAAGATTGCAAAGCATGATGCTTAATTTCTTTGAATGTGGGCCAGTGGTGGTTTCAACTGCTTGTTCCAGGAGCCTACCTTGTATGAGTGATAAAGCTTGAAAATAAGCCTCCAAATGGCAAATAACAAAGCATATTTCATTTGTAAACAGGCATGACTATTATATCCTCTGGTTTGTTTGGAAGAGTTTTAACATTTACACAAGTACAGGTAATTATTCTCTCTTCCAAATGGCTATCCATTTTTTGGTCCATTGTAAACTCTACTAGGGTATTTTTCATGCCTTTCTTTCATACAAGCACTTTAAAATATCATTATCTGGTCTGCTGAGCATGTGACCAATATATACACATTCAAAATGTACTCTTTCCAATATATCAGAGTATAGCTTGGAGCTATCCCTTAGCTTGGCAGAAGGAGATGCCAATTATGCACAATCTGTGGTGGGTGGTCAGCTCACAGCCACCTAGTCAATGAAAGAAGGCTATTTGTCCCTGTTATTTTATTCATTTATATCTCACCATCGTCTCAACAGTAGGACTCAAGGCGGCTAACAAAATATCTAAATATCTAAAACACTGGTAAAAGTATAAATATAAAGTTATCTAAAAAGGAATTAAGTCATTTGCCCAGTGTGAGTGTGTGGTGGTAGAGAGAGAAGGGTATATGAAAAGAACTGTGTGGTAGCTGGCAGGTTTGGTTAAAGAGTTCTGTGGAGATGCAGGCTGGTTTCTCTGGATTGTTACTGTTGCTTAGCAGCAACACTACTCTCAATCTTGTCCACTCTGGATGCAATGCTAAGCATACCTTTCTAGGAGTAAGCTCCCCTTAACACAGTAACACCTGCTGTCCCCAGACATTTCTTAATAAAAAGATATTGCAAAGTCAAAGCATCTCTCGGATTCATTTATCTAAAAGGAAATGGATCCATGTAAGATGTTCCCTAGAACTTCCTATTGCTCAGGAGAGAAATGCAGATGTATGTCCATCAACAGATTCAATACACTGGGTGTATAACACATCTCTTCAAAAACTTGTTTAATTAGTATGCTGTCACTGTCAGAGGAACATAAGTCTCATGTTAAGATATGTGCATATTCCTTCACATCTGGCTTTCTGTCATAAACAAGAGCTCTCAAAAGGCATGTTAGAGTCTCTCAAAAGGAGCATTATAGAAATGTGTGACAAACAAATGGCACAATCTGGTACCCATGTGATGCACTAAACCCGTTGAATTACTGTGATACTGTGAAAATTTGTAAGAGTCGCAATTGCTATTTATGAAACACTTTTGAACATAGCAATCTTTAGCCAATTCAGTTTTGCAGTGACTCTGCAATATGTAGTTAGCCATTCCCTTTTGCAAGATGGAGAAGCCAGACTGGGCAGTACGATCAAGGTCACTCTGTTAGTCATCTTCCAAATGGCTATCCATTTGTGGTTAGTTGCACAGAGACCCCTATTTAGTATTTAGCATATTGGTTTGCACTAAGGTAGATGTAACACTGTGCCATGGTTAAGGCAACTATGCAATTAAACAATGGGAGGTTTTCACTATAGAGGGGAGGAAGAAATGCTTGTGTCCATGGCACATTTCAAAAAGATTGTGCCTGTGTTGGCTTAGTATGGAAATATTCTATGGAAGCAAAACTATTTGTATTGGATTATGCCCCACCCATTGCTTGCAAGAAGGGTCATGTCAAATGTACCTATCTGCTTGATGTTGAAAAACATAACTGAACACCCCAAAAAGTGTCCAAAGCTGTTACAGGTATACTAGAACTAGCATGGGCTCCAAGGTTATATTGCCTTCATGCCCCTACCATGTTTCTTTCACAGAGAAGCTCAAGCATTGCCTAAGGCAAAGATGTTCTCCTGGGCTAGATTCAGCAAGAGCGAGTATGGTGGTTACACCTGCTTCTAACAGCTCTTAAACAGAGTGCCAGAGGCAGCAAATGTGGAATGGTTTGGGTTTTCACAGTGTGTAGTTCTGGAGTCACAGAGATAGGTGAACAGATAAGATCCTATAGGGTTCTGTCTAGCTCTCTCTTGGTCATTATTCAACTACCGTAAGAAACTAATAGGTGCCAACTTCCAGCTATTCAGCAGTAGACTGACTGTATCACCTTTTATTGAGTATTGAGAAGCTATAAAACCAGTTTACCCTTGTTACTTGATTCATTTATATCTCACTATTGTCCCATATAGAGGCCCCTTCTTCAAGTATTTGTGTTTCCCATAGCCCTGTCAGGATGGCATTTATTTATGCTTAGACATGTGTCTTGCTACGTATAATGATGGTTAGTACATTTGATAATAAACGATAAAAACTTCCTTTTCTTTTCTGATAACTGTCCAGAGATTTCCTTTAGGGTTTCTTTATACTGGCTGGGGGGCAACTGACATTCTAGTCATTATTTCATTATGATATATTTGTCCTCAGGAATGGAATCCCATCCCAATCAAAAGTATGCATTAAACTGTAGAAGTAGCCTGCTTTCATCAAATGAGCATTTTCAGACGTGTGCAGATACTCATTCCCATAAAAGGAAATATAACTCTATAATCCACAGGGAATGTTGGCTGTAATCACAGGCAGCTTTGTGGGAGAAGCACCCTTGTAGCAGCAGCATTTTTGGAAGCTTTCACCCAACTGAAAAGGCAAATCAGCATTAAATATAAAGGTAACTTGCCCATTTGACAGGGTAATTGGCTGCAGTAAATTTCAGAATGCCTCCACCTTTGCATGCTTGTTGTGGCT